ACATACTGTAAACAAATAATTAACATAAGTATACATATATATGTATACAGACAGACAGAGAGAGAAGAAAATAATCTTGAGCAGAGCCACAAGAGTAGGATTTTCTATTTAACTTCCGACCCTAAATTCTTCTTCTATTTAATCTTTCACATCAACTTTCTAAAATACAATCTGACCACTATCTGATTCCACCCTATCTTCCTCAGCAGTATTTTTTTTTCCATTTTTTTCTTTTTTTCGGACACACCTGAAGGAGATGACCCACTCTCATTAATTTCCATGGTTCCCCCAACTGCAGCAGTGGGTTTTTGGGAAACTAAGGAAAATCCTGTTCATTTCACTCCTTCATGCATCTTGCTTAGGTTCTTTCCTGAAAGGATCCTTTTCTACTCTCTGCCATTTAAATAGTAGCAATCCTTTAAGAACCACCTTCTTTCCCAGCAAGTCCAATCAAATATTGGTATCTCTTTCCTGTCCACAGTGACTATGTCTTCTTGTCATTACTATGCACCTTGGTAATTATTTTTAAACCTGTATATTTCTGCCTTCCTTGATTTCTAAAAAGGTGTTGAGGCACTTACAATAAAAATAAAATACTATAACTGATTCATTACACAAAAGAAAAAATTCAATGTCATTAAGGTGATTTGTGCAAAAAACTGTTTTGAGGTTTCTAGCATCAAAAGTAAAGAAGTAAACAACAACTTATGAAGGACACTTCATTCTGTTCAACTTGGGACTTAACGGTATACTACCCTATGCTCTCCATTTGTTTCATATCTAATGATATATTTGCTGAAATGTAACTTTTTACCCTTAATTTATATATATGTTTTCATTAAATTGCTTTTGCCCTATACTTGTGCATTCTTAGAATTTTTAGACTCGACTATAAACTCTGAAGTAGCTAGGGATTATGTCTTCTTAATGTACACTCAGATATTCGTTAAATTTTATTTTTTACTGTAATAATGATGGCAAATAAATAAGATAGCTATTTATGAAAAAAAAATCTAAAGGAATGTAAAACCAGATTATTAACAGTTCATCTCTGATGAATAGGATGATAGATAGTATTATTTTATTGATTTTTTAAAAATAAAAAGCATGTGTAGTACTTAGATCATCTAAAAACTAAAAGAATGTTTTAAAAAGATTGTTTCAATCACATGCGTTAAACATTCAGCTTAAAAAAATAAACACATAAATAAATAAATCCCTAAGGAGCATGGCCCAAATGAAATCAGTTACTCAGTCTAGCTTGAATGGAAAAATGAGGTTGTGGTGGAGAAAAATTAAGACTCTGGCTTTACCAAAGAAATACTAACATCTTTCACTGAGAACCAGACATTGCTTACAAAAGAAAAAAGAAAAAAAAAAAAAAGTTAAAGTCAATAGGAGCTCCCAAAGGAGCTACCTCAATAAGTTACCAAAAGTAAATTCTAGAATGCTATCACCTTAAAAAAGTGTCACAGGTAGTCCCTGACTTACAACAGGATTCCGTTCAGATGACACTGTCGTAAGCCAGTTCTGGCATTAAGTCGAATACATTTTTTCCCCCAGTTTTCATTATTACTGCTTTTTATTATCAGTGTCTTTATAAATCTCATCTTTGTCTTTGGGGGCTGAAAATATTATATACAAACTTACAGATATATTTTAATACATACATACATAAAAAAATACAACATCATAAAAATTTACTCTAACAATGAAGAAGAGTTGGAAAACACTGGCATTTTGTCATTTGCGGCAATAACTCCACTTGTGGAAGGTTCTGGGTCATCTGGATTATCCCTGGGAATGAGGATGGCACTTCTAGTCAGAAAATTAGTGAGAGCTATCCGTATGGTCCTTTTCTTCATTTATTTCGTGGTAACATCTCAGTGCTTCCCAAATCGGCCTATTGACTTTAGCAAAGTGATCAGTGTTTGTGGCCCATGTTTTCAAACAACTGAAGCCCCTGATTTAGTTTAGAAAAAACTCCCAGCTAATCCTCTCACTATAAAATTTTTTGACAACTTCTCTCCTTCCTCATTATTTCTTTCATCATTTCTTTCCTCTTCAAGATCCATTAAGTACTGATTTGTCAATTCCCCTTCATGATCTATGAGCTGTTCCACATTGGCGATGTCAAGCTCTAAATTCAGTGTTGTTGGCATATGGATAATTTTTCCACCAATCTCTTCCATCATATTATCATGATCAAATGTTTGAAGCATGTTCACGTACCTCAGCAATTTTTTCCATATCCCCGGCATGCATTTTCCCATAACCTCCCAGGAAGTTGTACTAACGATAAAACACACAATAAATAAACCAACCCGGACAATCGTGAGTGCAGTTCCTCATAACTCAAATACATTGTAAGTCAGGGACTACCTGTACTTTTATGTAACTTAACCACTTTTAGGTTTTGAAGGGATAATAATTAAAAGATATGGTTCCTGGCTTAATAAACTCATAATCCAGTTGAGAATATAAGCCAGGTATAAAAATCAGTTGCCATAAATTCCCACTCATGATGATCCCATGTGTGCTCCACAAGGTTTTCAATGGCTGATTTTTTGAAGTAGATCACCAGGCATTTCTTCCAAGGTGCCTCTGGGTGGACCTGAATTTCCAACCTTTGGTTAGCAGCTGAACGTGTTAACTCTTTGCACCACCCAGGAACTCGAGGCCAGGTATACCAAAACAAAACAAAACCCACTGCCGTCGAGTCGATTCCGAACCACAGTGACCCTACATGACAGAGTAGAACTGCCCCATAGGGTTTCCAAGGAGCGGCTGGGGGATTCGAACTGCCGACCTTTTGGTTAGCAGCCATATCACTTAACCACTGCACCACCAGGGTTTCCGAAGCCAGGTATAGCAGAAACTAAAATACCACACGAAAAACCAAAAAACCAAACTCGCTGCTATCAAGTCAATTCCGAATCATTGTGACCGTACAGGACAGAACAGAACTGCCCCATAAGGTTTCCAAAGAGCAGCTGGTGGATTTGAACTGCCGACCTTTTGGTTAGCAGCCATAACGCTTAACCACTGTGCCAGATTAACAGTTTAACTGTTAATCCATAAATGCTACTTAAATTCCAGGAGGAAGACAGGGGTTTTGCTATTTGATAAGAGACAACGAAGTATCAAGCATGTCTGAAGAAAATCCACTGACTCACCTGGCCAATGCAAATGTTCATGTTTTATAAAGACCTAGAGAGAGATTATATGGAGCTAGACTGTAAAAGTCTTAGCCCAGACTAAAGAAATTCTATACCATAAGCAAAGAGAAGCACTGAAGGTTTTTGAGCAAAAATGCAACATACAGTAGCATATTAGGAACATTAATCTGGAAGCAATATACAGCACATTAGAGGAAGAAGCAAGTAAAGAGAGACATAGGTTAAGAAACAATAGCAGGCAAAAGATTTGAATAGACATTTGTCCAACGAAAGACAAATGGCCAGTAGACTTGTAAAAAGAAGCTCAACATCATTAGCCATCAGGGAAATGCAAATCAAAACCATAATGAGATACGAGTTCACACCCACTAGGATGGCTATAATCAAAAAGGAGCATAACAACAAATGTTACTATGTTAGGATGGCAAGAATGTTGAGAAACTGGAACTCTCAAACATTGCTAGTGGGAATGCAAAATGGTGCGGCTGCTTTGAAAAATCTGTAATTCTTCAAAATGTTAAACATGGATACCACATGACCCAACAATTTCACTACTAGGTATATACCTAAGAGAACTGAAAACATACATCCCTCACAAAAACTTGTACAGAAATGCTCATAACAGCCATAATAACAGCTTAATAATAGCGTAATAATTTATAACAGCCAAAAAATGGAAACAACCTAAAATGTCATCAACTAATAAACAGATTAATAAAATGTAGTATATTCATAATAGATTATTTAGCAATAAAAAAGAAAATACTGACACGTTACAACATGAATGAACCCTGAAAATATTATGCTAAGTTACAGAAGCCAGACACAAAAGGCCATATATTATTCTATTTATATGAAATATCCAGAATAGGTAAATCTACATATACAGAAAGTAGTCTAGTTTGTTACCTAGGACTGGGAGAAATGGGGAGTGACTGCTAATGGGTATGGGTTTCTTTTTGGGGTGATAAAAATTTTCTAAGACTGATTGTGGTGATTGTGGTACAACTCTGAATATACTAAAAACCAATGACACTTTAAATGGGTAAATTGTATGGTATGTGAATTATATCTCAATAAACCTGTTAATAAAAAACAAAACAAACAAAATACAATAGCAGCAATTGTTCAGGCACCCATATTTACCAAAAAAAAAAAAAAAAAAAAACCTGCCCTGGCTACCATTACTGAACATTTTGATCAAAGATTCTACAGAGGAATTTTGATGAAAAGGAAGAAAATGCAGAACAGAATTTCAAATTCTCATGGAATCCAGACTTTCTGGAGACATGAAGGCTGGGTGAATGTCCAAAACTATTGCCCTGAGATAAACTTTAAACCAAAAAAATCCCCTGAAGTCTTCTCAAAAACAAACAATAGTTCAACTTAACTAGTAAAGAATGTCTGCCTTGAACACTGTGCTCTTTTAAGATCTATCTATATGGGATCAAACTGACAATAGCAACTTGAAATATTAGGTAGGAACCTTAGGCAGTAAGTTTCTGTTAATGGGGAGGAACAACTCAGAAAAGGAAGATGAGAATGACTGCACAACTCGAAGAATATAATCAATGTCACTAAACTGTACATGCAGAAACGGCCAAATTGGTGTACGTTCTGCTCAACAAAAAATAATTTTTAAAAACCTGTAAAATATCCAAGAATATTCTGAAATAAAAATCTTATTTTTACATATCTAAACATTTTATTCATTTATTCATTAAACAAATATTAATTCAAGACTTGATATATAATAGACACTTAGTTATTTTTTAACTTAGAAGGGAAAAAAAAGTATAGTGGATCTTTTCTAAGACTTACCGGTGATCTGAAGTTGTGATTTCATGCTCAGGCTACCCATTGAACCAAGTTGTGATCCACTATCAGACATACCACCAACAGGATGTCAAACCTGAACATGGCAAAGGAGATACTGTAAATCTCAAAAAAAAAAAAAAAAAAAAAAATTCCATTTTAAAAAAACATACAGGGGTAACCAGGCCATTTCCATGTACTGCTGAAAACCTGGTAATAACCAATGGGCTTCATATTGCTAAATATAATTACATTGTCAATTCTCCTGTTCATCCTACTTAACCTATCAGCAAAATCTGACACAACTGATCATTCCCTCTTCTGTAGTTTACTTTCTTCCCTTGAGTTCCCAGATCACACTCTCTAGGTTTATGCCCTACCACACCAATTGTTCCTTCTCAGTCTCCTTTGAAGACTTCTTTTCTCTTCAATTTCTTAATGTTGGAATGTCCTAGGGCTCAGTTCTTGGTCCCCTCTTCTTGTCTATCATTTTATGGCTTTAAATATCACCTATATACCAACAAGTCCCAAATTTATATAACTAGCCCAGACTTCACCCCTAAAATCTAAAAAACTTCACTTGAGTATCTAAAAAACACTTCAATCTTAACATACCCAAAACTGAACTCCTGATCATACCCATAAACTTACTCTACCCTGCAATCCTTCCCATCTCAGTTGATGGCAACTCCATCCTTCCAGATGCTCAGGCTAAGAAACTTTGGAGTCATCCTTGACTTCTCTCCATCTTTTACATTTCCCCTCCAATTTGTCAGCAAATTCTATTGTCTCTATCTTCAAAACATACGTAGAATCCAACCATTTCTCATCACCACCTCTACTACCACCAATCTGATCAGAGCTGCCTCTGGCAGCCATCTTTTTCCCAGATTATGCCTCACCTAGATTACTGCAATAACCTAACAGGCCTTTCTGTTTCTACCATGTCCATCTCCACTATCTATTCTTAACACAGCAAGGATGACTCTTAAAATGTTCAAAACCCTGCAAAGGCTCCCCATTTTCTCAGAGTAAAAGTCTAAATCCCAACACAGATCTACAGTACCCTATATAATGTGTGCTCCCCTGCTCCCAACCTGCTGATCTCATTTCCTTCTACTCTCCTTCTCTCCTCAGGCACGCTATCTTCCCTTACTATTCCTCAACTACGCCAGCATGTTCTAGCCTTAGGGCTTTTGATCTACTTTTTCTCTTGGCCAATATTACAATCTGTCTCATCTACCTAGAGCACTTTTTTTTTTTCCTACAGAATATACAGCTTTCTGATACACTAATTTACTTAGCAATTATGTTTCTTGTTTTTGTCTCCCTTAACCTGCTGCCGTCAAGTCGATTCCAACTGATAGTGACCCTAGAGGACAGAGCAGAACTGCCCCATAAGGTTTCCAAGGAGTGGCTGGCAATTCGAACTGGTGACTTTTTGGTTAGCAGCCAAGCTCTTAACCACTGCGCCCCTGGGCTCTTTGTCTGCCTTGGCTAGAATATAAACTCATGTGAACAAGGTTCTTTCTTTTGTTCACTGATGAAACCCAAGAGCCTAAAACAGTGCCTAGCACATAGTGAACACTTATTTGTAATGAAATGAATAAAGAAATTGTTATTGAGTTATACTAAACGAACAACTCTAACATATCTTCTTCAGTCCCTAATCATGGAAGAGTTAATCCCCATGGGGAAACAGCATTATTTATATAAAAAAGATATCACAGCAAAGTCAGAAAACTTGGACTTGATTCCTTACTGTAACAGTTAAACCTGTAAAATCAAACCCATTGGTGTTGAGCTGATTCCAACTCATAGCAATCCTACAGGACAGAGGAGAACTGCCATATAGGGTTTCCAAGGCTGTAATCTTTACAAGTGACTGGTGGGTTCAAATCGCCGACCTTTCAGTTAGCAGCCCAGCACTTAGATAACCACCACGCCACCAGGGCTCCTTTCTCCAACACTTACCATATGACAATCTTTGAGTTATTTAATGTCTCTAGACCCTAGTTTTCTTTTTCTCAAAAAAAAGGGCGGGGATAATACCACTTCTACTTTTACAGGGTTGTTATAAAGATTAAATAATTACGTATGTGAAAAAATGCTCTGTAAATGTTTGTTATTCATCATTAATAGTGTCTATATAAAATTGAATATGTTCTTTTAAAAAAAATCTGTTTTAGGCTTTTTAAAATTGATAATATTAGAAATATTTCCTCCAAGGATGACAGCCACGGGGGAAAGCAGAATTAAATGAAAAACAGTAAAGATTAAAGTGCTAAATTTACTTAGCACTTACTATTTGTCAGGTACTATGTAAGAAATGTACAAATACAGTGACAAACAAAGTATCTTAAAACTATAAACACTGCCTTGAGTTTTTATACCAAATTTGGCTTCCATTAAAAGATATTTAAATATAAAACAATTCTGTTATCTTTTCAAGTCTGCCAAAATAAAATGGAACAGTAATTTTGCCTGAGATGAAACCTATAAAATCCACTGTTTCATTCTTTGACTTACACATGAGCTAAAATTTAGCCTCATGTACAGTGACTAACTCACCCCCTTGGCCTGGTATATAATTTTGATTCACCTTCTTTATTTATTTATATAGTACCATTTCAGACGTTTTATAATTTATAATCTACTGAAAAGATTCTTTTAGTTTAAATAGGGAAAATATAAACCATAAAGTCATTAGTAGTCACCCAAAATCTGAAGAAAATGAGATATAACATAGAAGCCTTAACAATGAATTGCACAGGATTATCTTCTGATTCAAAGTGCTTGTTATAAAAGGTCATCATTACCACGTTCTGCACAGTGATTACCTCCACCTCCTCCTCAATACCCAAAAGCCTGTTTGCTACAGAACTATGACATTAAAACAAGTAAATTTAGAGGCAAGAAGAAAAGTCCAACATATGGGTGCTGATTTTCTACATGATAAAGCACTATTCCAGTTACTGATCTATATCAAGTTATTGCTGGAAAAAGTTTTTAATAGTGTAAATTAAATTAACATTAATTATAAAGTCCCAAAGAAAATAAACTTAAAATCTCCACAGAAATAAAATAGATTTTAAAGATTCAAATTAACTTCATGCAGAAAAGGTTAATCAAAGTACAGACTGCAAACATTTAAGAATAATGATTCTCTCCAGATAATTACAGAACCACTATGGTAGAACTGTGAGGTGTTCTGCAAAAAAACACGCTGGTAATTTCCAGAATTTATGTACTTATACATATTATATTTATGTAATTAAAATTCATTAAATATTTTAAATTCTTGAAAAGAATAAAAATCACTGTTACATAACAGCAAAAAAGAAAAATGCTAGAAACAACTTAAGTATCAGTTTGTAACCAGCTAAATAAACACACATTCATACTACAGAAAAGAACACTATGTAGCCATTAAAACAAATAACTTGACTGAAATGAAATGACAGCAAGATACACTTTTTTTAAAGTTGCAGGATACATATAGTATGTTATTTTTGCAAACAAAAACAAAATATATATTTCTATAGGTACAGACACCATAAATAAACACAGAAAAAGTATACATCCCAAACTGGTAATAGCGGTTACTTTTGCAGAGAAGGGGTCTGGGTATAAAGAAGGCAGTAATGGGGAACTTTAGTTTTGTAACTATTGCTTGAATTTTTAAAAAATAAAACGTGTATCACCGATCATTTATACAATTTTAAAAACCAGGCAAGACAAAACAGAACAGAGAATCTATACTTTAAGCCCCATCCTCTCCCCGGAGTTCCAGACTCTTCAGTCTTGGAGTGTTATTTACAACTGCCTGAATGATTACAATGACCAAATTTGAACTCTCCATACCTGGCACCCCACCCCAGCCTCAGCCATCCATCCAATTGCTTGAGTCAAAAATATAAGCATCATCACTGATTCTTCTTTCTTTTACGCTCCTAACATCAACAAGTTCTAATAATTCTACCTGTAAAATATACCCTACTATATACATCTACTTTTCTTCACATCTAGTCCAAGCCACAAACATCCCTACCAACAAATTACTGCAAGTCACTAAACTGGTCTGCCTGTCTCTACCCCTACACCCTCTTTCCTCCCTCTCCCACCATCCAGAGAAGCCAGAGTAGCTTTTTTTTAAAATGAAAGCAGATTATGTTTTTACTCTAGTTTGAAATATCTAATAGCTTCCTATCTCACTTAGGAAAAAAATCCAAATTCCTTATGCTGGCTTACATAATTCTACTCATGACTGACTCTGACCTCACCTATATCATTCTCCCCTCATCACTGATAACTCATTTCTTTTCTCACACACACTACAGTCACACTAACTGTTCCCTCTGCCAGGACTGCTCTTCCCTCTATTTTTAAATACCTAACGCCTTCTTGTATTTAGTTTTCAACTTATGTATCACTTCCTCAGAGAAGTCTTCCCTGACTACCCATTCTAAAGTAGCCATCCAGTTACTTTCTATCACATCACTGAAAATTTTCTAGTTTCTGTGTTTACTGACTCTAAGGTCCACAAGAGTAAGGCCCTTGTCTATCTTGTTAACCAGTACTTGGAATACTCTATAGTTTTTTTTTTGTTTTTAATTAACTGATGTCCACAGTTTACATTAAGGTTCACTCTTGGGGACATCCAGGTCAATTCGCATAACGAAGTTTATTAACTAAACGTTCTGTATTCCACTTTGGTGAGTTGTGTCTGGGGTCTTTTATTAAAAGCTAATGAGCGGCCATCTAAGATGCATCAATTGGTCTCAACCCACCTGGAGCAAAGGAGAACGAATACCAAAGACACAAGGAAAATATTAGCCCAAGAGACAAAAGAGCCACATAAATGAGAGACTCCATCAGTCTGAGACCAGAAGAACTAGATGGTGCCTGGCGACTACCAATGAAAGCCCTGACAGGGAACACAACAGACAGTCCCTGACGGAGCAGGAGAAACGTTGGGTGCAGAACTCAAATTCTAGTAAAAAGACCAGACTTAATGGTCTGACTGAGACTGGAGGAACCCCAGAAGACATGGCCCCTGGACTCTCTATTAAGCCAGAATCAAAACCATTCCTGCAG